TAAGACTAATGTTGGGTTAGGGGAGGGGAAGGTGCATAGTAGCCCAGATACCGACATTGATCCCAATTTTAAAACAAATGCCTCAGTAGAGGTGTCCTACCAAGGGAGGTTACAGATACAAATGGTAATAGGGCACTTCTTACGATTCGGTTCCAAGGCCCTTTAAACAAAGGAGTCACATGAGAAGAGGTATTTTGTCAGAAACGGTTAATTTCCTTCCGTGAATGCGTTCCATAATTGACCGTAAATAACACTTCCCTCTTCTACACTGTTTAGATGCGCCTTGGTGTGATATCCGTCCCACACATGCTGGCTTTAAACACGTTAAAACAAAGTTTGAGAGCAGGAAAAAGGAGAAATGGCAGGCAGGACAGTGCGTGAAAGGTCGTAATGAGCCTGCGAACATTGTGTAAGTATCCCATCGGGCACCTTAAGCCAACAATACAAATACAACACAGGAGCATGCGCAAGTGAATCCAAAGAGCCGGCCGCGCGCTAATTTCCCGCGCAAAACTTTCAAAGGAAACTGGGGAAAAAATGTCACGTGAAATATGCAAAAAGATTGAAACGTAACAATCTCGAAAAGGAAATCGATGTAGGGCAAAGAAAAACTCGAGGCTATTCAAACACAACGCTTATTTAAACATGGGCATCCTGCTAATTTGACATTTCGTTTTGAGCTTTATCAAAAACTTCTACGAAATTTTCCCATTTGCCTCTACAATCAAGAAGTGTTCTTTTCCCAAATTCTCTTTCATTTTGATTTAAAATGTCGTCGTCGTGTTCTTGCTTTAACCCTAGGCTGTTTCCTCCTTGTCTCTGCTTTTTTTAGACAAGTGTTAGAGGTTGTGGCGGGATGCCGAGGTGAAGATGTTCAGTCACTCGCTGAAACTGTCTACGAGAATACAATGAATTTGTTTTTTAGATAGCAGGACCTTGGTTATTTTCGTGGCCTGAAGAAAATATCAAGATAGCAGAGAACTTAACATTCACGTTCAAGCTTTCCTATTTGTACTCCAGCCTTTGCATTTGTAAGGGTACCACTACTTTCAAAAGGAGCTCCAACGGTCAAACGATCGGACACACAGACGAAAAAATGTAGAAACAGTTTGACAGTCAGACAGGCTGACAGATAGACAGACGAACAGGCAGATAAACAGACTGACAGATAGAAAAACAGACAGACAGACCGACCGACAGGCTGTTAGACGGATAGACAGGCAGATAGACACACAGGCAGACGAAAGGCTTACAAATCAATTGTATTTGGTCGTCAATCAAGAGTTGTTGGGTAGATAAATTCAATTAAAAAACAATAATAATAACATTATGTACAATAATACAGAATATTGAGAGAAAAAATAACCCAAAATGCTGTAAACTTTTGAATTTGAAAAAAAATATCTAGACATCTTCTTTCACAAATCACTTGGAACCTTGAAAGAAACGACTTTCGTTAAAATTCAATGTATGCTTGACCAGAAAATATAAAAGCACTCCTGCTTGCAGGCATCAGCATCAATGATATGATATAGGTGAAATTGAAACCAATCTACGAAATATCAAAGGTAATTTGATTAACCAGTTTTTTATTAAATCCAAAAGGTCCCCAATAAATTTTCAATATTAAGGAATAGGATCAATGGTAATATACGAGCAGCTCCGCACCTTCTCCCTAACCAAACGACAGTTGACTGACAACAAGTTCAGGTTAATTGAGAGGGATAGGTGCACAGATGCGCATTTTCTGATATTAATATGAAATTTGGTAGAAAAGCTAACTAAAGAAAAAAACCCTTAGGACGCAATTTTTTTTCTTCAAAAAATTTCATCAATCATATTGAGCTCGCAATTCTTGATAAACGGTGTTGTTAATCAGCTGAACTTCACCGCTCTTTCCAAACGTTCGCTCAGATAGACACGTTTGCATTCGTTATAGCAAATGTTAGTAGTTGATGTCATCTGTTGGATGGAAATCTTTCTATGTGGTGTGTTGGAGATTTGCCGTCATTTCCTGGATTCTGACGATTGTTGATCGATTTAGCTCTAATGCTTCCTCGACAGCTCACGAACAAGAACAGTGAACAAAGGATGAAAAAAACCGTGCCACTCATTAGCAAAACCCAAATACCCTCCACTGAAATAGAAACAAAATGAGGCAATTATACAAAGATCCCAGTCATAATTTTTTTGACAAAGCTATTAGGCAGTACGTTAGTACTGTACCATGTAATTTGCTGTACGAAGTGGTTCCAAGTTTGTGCGCGCAATCCTAAAATCGACTGAAATGTAACCAACCATTTTATCAATTTTCGTGTAAGACTGAGCTGTTCTTTCATATGAACTGTTTATCGATGTTGTTGGCGCAAGAACTGATGCTTTTTTTTTTTCAGTGTTGACAACCTCTTATGCACGTGGTACCATAACCTGATCATAAGTACCAAGCTTTCCAAGGGGGGGGGAAGGGTTAAGGTTAGCTTTCGCTCAACCTCACTACCCCTTCCGTTGGAAGGCCTGATAGTTAGGCTAGTAGTACCTTTGATTTGGTTTGCTCACCTGAACACTGTTTATACATCGGAACAAACGATTCGCAATACGCCTGGAATTCGGCGCTGCCATGTCCCGTAAGAAAGGTTTGAACTTTCGTATCATCTAAGGTGAAAAGGCCTCCTGTTGAGTATGAAATAAGTTGTTATATTGCAGAGAACAATTTTACAAAAAATCTCAAAAAAACCAGGACGGCACTCCTTGAAATAAAGCCCATGCCCTAAAGGATTCCAATTATTTAACCTCTTACACGCATTAGAGCTTACCTGGCCAGCAGAAGCCCCTTTTGGTGCTGAGAACAGATCTGCGATTGAAAAAAAGTTAAAAAGATATTTTTGATTTGACAACTGCCAATCAGAATTCAGCTTCTGACAGGCCGTTGAATTACAACTAAGGGACTGGTCGTTATTTATCCTCTCG